GGAGAAAATCTTTGCCACCTGCACTTTAGACAGAGCGTTAATCTCCAGGATATATAAAAATCTCAAGAAACTTAACTCTAGAAACCAAATATCTCAGTCAATAAATGGGTAAAAGAACTGAATAGACACTTCAAAGAAGAGAAATATGATTGGCCAACAAATATATTAAAAATGTTCAACATTCTAGCAATTAAAGAAACACAAATTAAAACTATACTGGGATTTCATCTCACTCCAGTCAGAATGACAATTTTCAAGAATACAAGTAATGTTACATGTTGGCGAGGATGTGGGAAAAAGGTCCACTGATACATTGCTGGTGGGATTGCAGATTGTGCAAGCACTCTGGAAAGCAGTATGGATATTCCTTAGAAAACTAGCAATGGAACTACCATTTGAATCAGTTACCCCACTCCTAAGGACTTAAAATATCCAGAGGACTTAAAATCTGCATACTACAGTGATGCAGCCCTATCAATGTTTATGGCAGCTCAATTCACAATGACCAATCTAGGAGCCTCCACAGATGAAAGGGTAAAGAAAATGAGGTGCATATACACAATGGAATGTTACTCAGCCGTAGAGAAGAACTAAATTGTGGCATTCCCTGATAAATGGATGAAACTGGAGACTATCATGCTAAGTGAAAAAAGCCAATCTTCCCCAAAACAAAGGCCAAATGTTCTCTCTGATATGCAGATGCTCACAATAAGGGGCAGGGAGGGAAGAATAGGAGCTCACTGGATTAAACAAAAGGGAATGAAGGGAAAAGGAGAGAGTATGGGAATGGGGAATCGAGTAGAATGAATCAGACATCACTTTCCCATGTTCATATAGGAATACACACAGTGTCACTCCACATCATGTACAACCACAGCAATGGGAAGTTACACTCCATGTATATATGATATTATCAACATACATGGAGTATACATGTCACACTGTCATGTATAACTAGAAAGAACTAATAAAAATAAAGGAGATTCTCAAACTTTTTTTTTTTTAAGTTAGAGCCTTCTAACTTAACTTTTGTCACTAGAATCCTAGTCAAACCTTCTTCAAAGACAGGCCTGCTCTGGCTCCACGGGTATTTGGACATCTACAAGGGTATTTGCCCTTTGGCTCCAGAAATACTGTCTAGCCCCCTCTGAGACCCTTTGGCATGGTCTGAGGATCCTGTGAAACCATAGACTGAAAAGTATCCCTAAAGAGACCTCAAGGACCATTGCTCAGTTTGAAATATAGATTTGAGAGTCTTGATGTGTTCAGGCCCAGTTCTGAGAGTTGTTCAGCTAACAATAACAACTTTGCATGCACAAGTTAGCCGTTTGGGTGATTCTCTGAGATTTTTTTTTTCCTAATTTTTAATTTTTTTACCACTTTGGTTAAAGAAGCTTTCTAAAGCCCTCCAGCTGGCCAGGGCCTCATTGAAAACCCTCACTGTGTTTTGTCTCAGGACTAGGGGGAGGTGAGAAAGGCATTCCTCTCTCAGGAGCAGAATTTAAGGGATAAAAACAAAATCAATAATCCCAATAAACAATATGTTAATATGGTAAAAATTAATTGACAAGAATTCATGATGATCTAAATGCCAACATGTTAAACAGAGGCAGGGCTGCCCAGGATTTACCAGCTCCCCTCCTCGCCCTCATCCCCACGCAGCTGAGGAGTCTGCCTCTACACCAGACTGACCTGTTCCACCCTGAATCAGAAAGCCATGAGACTGGCCTTTTCCAAGATCCAGCAGACGATTACCTGGCATCCAAATGATTAGTGAAAGGGACACAGGCTGCCACAACCAGCAGAAAGGGCAGGGACATACCAGGGTGATGTAATGGGGACTTGAGAAAGTGGATGGGAGGCTCTCCAAGGTTTCTGCAGTTCTCCGCTAGAGAAAAGAGAGACCATTTCCCTGCAATTAGTACTCACGAAAGCA